TAATTTTAAATAGCTTGTTTTACATGTCAATCCCAGTTCCCTCTCCCTCCCCTCCTCCCGCACTCCCCTTCCCCCCTCCCTCCCACCCTATTGCCAAATCCTTCCACATAGGGGATATCTAGAGTCTGTCATTTTACTCTTGGTAGGGTCAAGGCACTCCCCTAAGAGTCCAGGCTGAGAGAGCATCTCTCTTTGTGCTATAGGCACATGAAGACAGTTTGTATACCAGGGATAGACACTGATCCACAGCTCAGGGCCCCATAGGTTGCCCAGGCCTTCTCACTGACACTCACATTTGGGGGGTCCAGATCAGTCCCATGCTGGCCTCCCCACTGTCGGTCTGGGGTCCAAGAGCACTCCCCTGTTCAGATCAGCTGTCTCTGATGGTTTTGCCAGCCCATTCTTTGCCAATTTGCTCATCACTCCTCTCTGTCACTGGGTTCCTTGGGTTCAGTTCAGTGATTAGTTGTGTGTTTGCCTCTGCTTCCATCAGTCACAGGATGAAGGCTCCCGGATGGTTATAGACATCAAGTTCATTATCAGGAATGGGCATTCGGGGTGGTCCCTCCACTATTGCTTAGCTTGCCAAATGATGTTATACCTTTAGATCACTCGAGGTCACTCTGGTGCCTGATCTGTCTTCGATCCTATGATTCCCTCTTCCCCCTATTCTACCCCCACCCCCTCAACTTCCTGTTCCCCCATGACCAACAGGTCCTTCTCTTCTGCTTCATCTGTGTTGGGATGTTCAGGCCTTGCTGGTGTACAGTCCCTAGATTCAGGTGGTGTCATATTGGTCTTTCTGATGTTAAGTGTATTCTTATACTGTTCTTTCCATCCCTTCTTCCAGTGGGTGCTGGTGGGGGTCTCTCCCTCTCCTCTAGTCTCCGGTGGAATTGGTAGGCCTAGACTTCAGTGTCTGCAACTCTGGATGGTCCAGCCTCTCCTGATATTCTCCTCACTCAAGGTCAAGCAGAGGGCATAGGGCAGCAGGGGCGGAGCCGAGCCTGAGGTGTGGCCAGACTCCAGGTGGTCTGTCCTGTTGGGTGGGTCCACCACACTTGGGGCAGGTCCAGAAAGTTCCAAGGTGATGGCGGGAGCTGGGCCTGAGCAGAGCTCACACTCCCCTCCATAAATGTAGGTTCTAATGTATTTTAATTCTTTGAAATTTAGTTATGTACATAGAAAGTACATGATGTTTAACATACATAAATATATATTAATTTTAAAGTTTTTCTTAACAAAATTACATGTTAATTTCCCACAGGGATATTTTACTAGTAAAAATGTCTACTTGTCTAAACATGAGAGTTTACTGTGTGCTTACTGTCAGTTTTAACTGTTTTGTTTGGATTATCAGCAGCATATGACATTTTCCTTAAGAGTCCATGCTTTAGTATATATTCCTCTGGGAGAACCAAGCATTTGCCTTTCACCCAAAGATTTGAGTGTGGGACAGATTCTCAATGATGATTAAAGCTTTTGAAAGGAAATAATTTTCTTATGGATAGTATAAAAATATTCCAAAACTATTAAGATATTAGAAAGGAACTTAGTATTATTATAAAATGATTTAAGATGAATTCCAAGAAAAATGTTTAAACAGATCCTGAGAAACATGATTATTATTGTTAAACAATTAACTCTAAAAGGAGATGAAAAACTTTTTACTTAGCATGTTTTTATAGCAAGTTAGTCACTTACAGATACTAAGTTAATCACTTAGAATGGTGCTTTCCAACCTTCCTAAAGGTTCAACACTTTAATACAGTTCCTCATAAAATTATTTCATTCTTACTTCATAACTGAATGTTGCTACTGTTATGAATCATAACATAAATATCTGTGTTTTCCAATGGTCTTAGAAAATCCCTGTGAAAAAGGCATTCTACCCTCACAAGGATCACAACCCACATTTTGAGAACCACTGACTTACAAGCTAGGAAAATTTCTTTGTATCTATTAACATTTTAATATGAAATACATTCATCATCAGATACAATATTAGATAGGCTAGTTTGAAATTAGCCTTATCCTATTTGATAATATGGCTGGCAGAATTGTGTCATCACAGATGTAATTTAGTTACCATACAGTCATTCCACACAACAGCACTGGTATTCCTACAAGATGAGTGACACTGTGCCACACCCTTTACCAGGGAAACACAATATGGACAAACATGAGGAAAAGTCAGTCATTTTGCAACTAAAGGGATGATTTACAAGTCAAAGCTCCCCAAGAATGGGTCTCTGTCTCCAGAGCACACCAAGAGTGGGTCCCTGTCTCCAGAGCACACCAAGGGTGGGTCTCTGTCTCCAGAGCACACCAAGGGTGGGCCACTGTCTCCATGTCACCAGAAGCCTGAAGCACGGAGAAGTTTCTCTCTCAGGGCCTCAGAGGAAACTGTCCTGACAATGCTGGCTTTGGAAATCTAGTTTCCAGAACTGAAGAAAATAAATATATATTCTTTTAAGACACAAAATTTTAGTAGTTGTTTTGCTATCTCTATTAATTTAACAGGGGTGGGTGGATGGATATAGATGATAGATAGATAGATAGATTATACATAGATAGATCATACATACATACATACATCATTGGATGGAGGGATGATAGGTAGACAGGAAGATAGATAAATGATACATAATTTTAGGCAGGCTAAATTCAAAGACTCCTAAGTTTACGCTAAGTCATTAAATGGGAATATGAGGAAGTGTTCAGTGAGGTTGCAAGTGGCCCCGTAGTTGTTACCTCACTCACACAGAACTCTAGGTCAGAAATGGCTTAACTGAGGCAGTTTTATGTGGCCTGACATGAGAGAGAACATAAATAAGTCAGCCTCTCTGAACACCCCAATCTTTTTTGTCTTCAGGTACAAAAACTTTGCTGAGTGCTCTAAGAAAGTATTTCCTCTTAACTACTTTGCTCTGCAAACAGACTCATAGCACCCACGCCTTTCCTCAGAAAGGGGAGCTTCCATCTCCATGACCTATATGAAATTAAACACTGGAGGCAATTTGCTCTCTGTGGCTTTGCCTGCGATTTCCCTCATTTACGCATCTCCAAGCACCGTTTGTCCTAAAGGACGAAGCTGGGAACCCCATCTAATTCACATCCAGAGCCACGGTTCCTCCAGGGGCTTTTCGCTCGTTCCATTTGGCACAGCGGTGACTAACTGTGTCTGACATCATCTGCCTTGAAGCTCCGCCTGACACTTGGTTCCCATCCACACGCTTTCTGGTGGCTTTCAGGAAACTCCGCCCACCTCTTAGAGGTCACTCCACGTGTAGCCCACTCTGGCCTGGAACTTGCAACCCTCTGTGCATCAAGTGTCAATGTTCACCACCATGTCCAGCTTCAAGCAAATCACTTTAAATGCTTGTTTCGTAGAATTTCATAGTACCCACCCCCCCTTTTTTTTTTTTTTTTTTTTTTTTTTGGTTTTTTGAGTCAGGGTTTCTCTGTATTGTTTTGGAGGCTGTCTTGGAACTTGCTCTGTAGACCAGGCTGACCTCGAACTCACAGAGACCCGCCTGCCTCTGCCTCCCGAGTGCTGGGATTAAAGGCGTGCGTCACCACCGCCCAGCTAACCACCCCTTTTCAAAGTTTCCTCAATCGTGAAAAAAAGAAAAGGAAACAACTTGCCAATTTACTAACATTTTTAGCCAATAGGAAAACACATAGCCACCAAGCCTAAATATAACATGTAAGTTTGCTACTAAAACCACCTAATTTATTTTCTTAAGAATTGACTACTTAATAGGAAATTATATTTCAAAAAATTTTAAATAATACTGAGCTCAGAAAATTTTACAATAAAAAAATTGGCATGCTAAAAGTTACAAACATTAATGAAAATATTCCTACACATTTGGGACTGACTGAAGAAATTTTTATACCAGTTAGAAAACTTAATGTGTGAAGTTATTATGTATTAATTGCCACTTAAATTGCTATCTACTCTGATTTAACTGTGGAATTTTATTTTATTTTATTTGCTACAGCTTAAAATTCGACCGGACTGTTAAAGAATGTCGTTTTGTCTCTAGTTGGCTAAAACCCTGTGCTGTTAAATTCTTCCTTACAGGGAACTGTAAGATTTCCCTGTGCTAGACAGCACATAAACTTTAAAGCTGGTGAAAACAAGCTGCCCTGAGGGGTGGAAGCCTCCTCCGGCCTGCGAACGGCTATCACTTGACACTGAAATGTCTAACACATCTCTCTTTGGGACACTTTACAAGTGGGTTTTCAGAAATCCACACACTTCCCTCATCTGTTCACATAAAATTTGACAAAGGAACACTGTGCTATAAGATGTATCTTGTCCCTTTGTGGTTTTACGAGCAGAATCTAACTCATAAATAGACAAGAACAGAAAGGGTCGTAAGACTGCAAGAATTTCACATGAGGACTCCATCCATGATAAGACCTTACAGGCTTCCAGTCTTCTCATGATCGCTACAGCGGAGCCGTAGACACGGACACTTGTCCCACTCACTTACGAGCTTAGGCAAAGGAAGTGAAACGCTAGAATGAAAACTTCCTTTCTTGTCCAAATGTGAAGGTCTAGCCTAAGAGGCAACAACATTTGTCCAGTCGCAAATCTCCAAAACACACCCAAACTTAGGAAACCAAAATGGCAGAGGAGAAGCTGGTGATTCCTTTCGAGACACAGACATTTAAGTTTCATTTCAACTTCTTGTAAGTCACAGGCCGCTCTAGCATATTGAAATGCAGGGTTGCAGTCTCACTCCATAAACATGCACATATATCCATGGGCACAGCTCACATGCAAAGCACTCAACTCCCTGCTCTAACGTTTTCCCTTCCTTTCCATCCCTGTCTCCACACATCACACCCAGTTCTCCATCCAGCGACTTTCTCATGTGGCTTGCACCAGACAACAGTTGGCTTCTTCACGACCATTTCAATTTTTGAGTAGGGTTTCTCGCTACTCGGTCTCTCAGAGGTACCAGTATATAATGAAATAAACTTACTGTTTTCTTTAACACTTTGAGAGCATAGGGCTTCTGGGTCCCCTTCTGTTTGCATCTGTACACAATGGATGTAGCACCCCTTGAGGGGGAAAAAGACAAAAAGAAAATGTTATGCTGTGGACACGACTTAAAGAGGAAATCTTGAAAGTGTCTCTTGCAGATACGCTCATGACTACCAACGGTTCATTAAGTCCTAGGTAATGGCCCACGATGGTGAGAGTCCTTCACAACTGAAATTTCTCAGAAAATTCTAGGACTTTTACTGGCTTTGCTTCCTGATGCCAAGTAGCACATCTGGGGTCATTGCATTTGATGCACTGTTGAGAAAAACCAAGTCCTCAGGAAATAACATTTTCCAAGAACAGCCAAACACTGGAGTCCCAGGATCCCTAAAAGTACATGTTTGGAGTGAGAAAAAAAAAACCCAGAAAGCTTCGGGGAGAGGGTTCTGAGTTTAGCATTCTCATTGTGACTGAAGTGTCTACACTTCTTCATGTTGGTAAAGGAGCTAGAAATGCCCCTCCACCCTTTTGTGATCTGCTGAGGAGAACAAGACAGGAAGTTGATTCCTTGGCTTTTTCCACGCGTGTGCGGTACTAGAGGAGAGTTCTTCACAAAGAACATCATGGCCTGCATGGCGCCAGGTCACACACAAAGCAAGAGAGTAAGAAAACAGAGACATGAAGGAAACTACAGGCCACCCTGGTTTAAGTTTCAACTTTGAGAAAGAACTTTCCCAAATTCGTTAGAGTAAGACGGGTTTGAATTAGACCTTTTAGATGATGAAGAACAAGCAGAAGGACTTCTGATGACACAATCAGTCCACAGTCCTGTAACTCTACAGGATTTGTAACTCTACAGAGAACTGTAACAATCAGACATGTGCCAGGGACCTGAGTAAGATAAACTTTCAACAGCAAAAAGTCAAGCCCGGTACACCACAGTTCTTACATTAAGAAAAGTCTTACTACATTTTTAGAACATGTCAAGAGACCATATATACATATAAGGAGTTCTAGAGGTGAAATTAGTGAAGGTAAAAAGAAAGTGGGTATATGATGTCTTAGTTATTATATTACTTAAAGGTAGACCCTTTATATAAGACATGTTATATAACCTAGGTCAATGACTAAAATATTTAAAATAAAAAATCTATAACTCAAGAATAAAGTTAAATGCAAAACTCAAATTTATGTGCAAAGGAAGGAAAAAAAAAACCCAAGGAACTCAACAAGTAAAATAGCTATAATGTAGTAGGTTGAAATACAATAGTAATCACTACAATAAACTTAAACGTTACATAACAATTAAAACTTAAACATTATTCATTATATTGGATCGTAACACCAGGACTAATCTGCATACTGTAAATAAAATCTATTTATGTATATAGGAAAATGTAGGTTAAAAAATAAAATGACCAATAAAAATACATGCAGAACTTTAACAAAAGAAATCAGTTATACTAATATATATATATATATATATATATATATATATATATATATGTGTGTGTGTGTGTGTGTGTGTGTATGTATATACGTAAGTCTCAGAAAATCGATAGGGGAATAGTATTGAGTTTTGAAAGGCCAGATTCCAAAAATTAACACAATATGCATAAATGTGCATGCATCTAGCAACGGATCTCTAAGATACATGAAGCTCAGGCATAGACCTGGAAGGAGTAAGAACAGCCATAAAGACACTTGGAGACTCAGCTTGATCTCAGCAACTGACAGGACATGAGACAAACTTTCGCCAAGGATACAGGATATATGGGTGACATTTCCAATTAAATTAAGCTGGTTTGTATTGAGAGAAAACTACACAAACAGCAGAATTCAAAGCATACAGTAATAAGATCTACCTGTATATGAAGACTCCATTATTAGTATAAAGACAGTGCAGTAGAGAAAGTCTTCCTCCCAAGAAGAGACACTTATGAAAAAACAATGGAATGGGAGAAAATATTTATATTTCTTAAAAGGCAGACATGCTGATGCTCAGCTACTGTAGACACCACTAATCAGCAGAAATACCAACGTCAAGCAAACGTGAGGCGTCAGGTTCTCCCTGCTAAGGTGACTTTTACCAAAGCAATGAATCAAACATCAAACCAAGTATTTCTAAGAAAGTACAAGAATGTACAAGAAAATTTGTGCATACTGCTAGTTGGAACTAAGACAGCCACTGTTTTTTTTTTAAAGCTATGAAGCATCTTTTAAATCTTTAAACATACTACTTTCCTACTATTCAACAGTTCAAAACTAAGTGTATTACCAAGAGAAATGAAAGAAGTATGTCAAAGAGCTATGGGACCTCCCACATTAACTGCAGCATCGTTAACAATAATGAAGACCTGAAATCCACCGGTGTCCACCCTGACATGTGATAGACGTACACATAATGAAATATAATCAAACCTTTGAAAACAAGAAAATTTTGTCATTTTCCAGGAACAGAGGTAGACCTGGAAGATTAAATAAAGCCCAGCCCAGGATGACAAATATGAATGATCTCAATTGTTTGCCAAGTCTAGAAAAGAACAAACTCATAGAAGCAGAAGAGAAAGTCACTTTTACTTTCCCAGTGCTGGGACTAAAGGTTTGTGCCAATCATGCCAGGCTTCTGTTCTGTTTCACACTGTGAGTTTGGAGTCAGCCCGACCTCCATAGTGTTCTCAGGCCACCTAGGGCTATACAGTGAAAACTTTTCTCAAAAGAAAATAGAATAATCAGAAACTAGAAACAGAATAGAATGGTAATTACCAGACTTCTGAGGTGCGGTGACTAGGCAGTGTGCCTCAAAGGACCCATGACAGTGCACTAATACAGTGAATTTCAAACACTGTGACGCATGGTGCAGCATGAAGACATAGTTTTCTTTTAATTTTCAAATGTAAATAAGACTCGAACACATACATTACCAATGGCAAAATATTAAAGGCATATAGGAACATGGACAGACCCTCAGGATCATTAGCCATTGGAAAAATGCAAGTTATTATATCAAGGATACGAAAACCACACACCTATTTGAAGGCATTTTTAACAGCATGATCATCTTGTGTGAAAAATCTGGCGTGTCCAGATAGAATCCCTTGCTAGTTTAGGATTGGAAGTGGGGGAAATGGAGACCGCTAATGGGTAGGGTGAGTGTCTCTTTAAAACTAAAGTATTTGTATTAATTCCTGGAGTATTTCATACACACATGCAATGCATTGTGGTCCTATTCACCTCTACCTCTCCCGATGACTCCACCTAGATTGATCTCTAACTCAGTGCCCCTCCAAAATTTGTGTTCATATTTTCTCTCTGCCCATCCCCCCATAGCCCTCTGAATCCAATCTGTACTGCCCATTTACTCATTTGTGCAGGACTGTCCAATAGGACCTAACAGGGGCCACACCCTTAAAGAAAGCCAACTTTCCCTCCCCTGGAAACTGTCAGCTGTCAGCAGCTCTGCACTGGGTGTCGGGGGAAGGGCTCTGTTCTAGAAGGTCCACTGGTTGCTTCAATGCTTTAAAGAAAAGTCCCTTTTAAGTCCGTTGTTTATCAATGAAGTCTCACTGGGTGGTGTAGTTGGAATGAAAATGACCACCATAGGCTCATAGGGAGAGGCATTATCTGAAAAGATTAGGACTTGTGGCCTTGTTGAAGTAGCTTTGGCCTTGTTGGAGGAAGTGTGACCCTGGGGATGGGCTTTAAGGCTTCAGATGCTCAAGCCAGGCCCACTGGCCCTTGCTCTCTCTCTTCCTGCTGCCTGCCGATCCAAACACATGGATGTACAACTCTTGGTTCCTGGTCCAGCACCATGTCTACCTGCGTGCCACCATGATTCCCACCGTGACAATAATGGACTAAACTTCTGAATCTGTAACCAGCCCTATTATAAGAGTTGGTGTGGTCATGGTGTCTCTTCACAGCACAGAAACCCCAACAAAGACAATGGGTATATCAACAATACTTCAGGGCACGCCCCATGGCCAGGAATAGCTGGTCAACACAAACAAACTCAGTGGTATTTTTTTGTAGGTTCTGTTTCATTTTGATTTGTTACTGGTAATTTTTTTTGTCTTATTGGTCTTTTGGTTGCTTATTTTAATGTTCATTTCTGTGTTTCTGTGGGGATATTTTTATGTTTCTTGTTTATGTTATTTTGTTTTGTATGCATTTTTGTCTTTTCTGTGTGTGTGTATGTGTGTGTGCTTCTTTTGTTTGTTTGTAGAGTTTTCTTTTGTGGAAAACAGACTTTTTTTCCATACAATATATTCTGATCATGGGTTCCCCTCCCCCAACTCCTCCAAGATTTCCCCCACCTTCTCTCCCAAGGGAATACACACCCTTTATGTATCTCATTAGAAAACAGGCTCTTTTAATCCTAGCACTCAGGAGGCAGAGGCAGGAGGAGCTCTGTGAGTTCGAGGCCAGCCTGGTTTACAGAGTGAGTTCCAGGACAGCCTCCAAAGCTACACAGAGAAACCCTGTCTTGAAAAACCAATAAATAAATAAACGGAAAAGAAAGGAAAGGAAAGACAAAAGACATCTAAAGAATAATAACATAAGAGAAATCAAGCTGGACGAGGACAAAACAAACAGAAGAAAAGGGGTCTAAGAAAAAGCAGAAAATACATATGTAGACGCCGAGACACGCATGCTCATATGCATAGAAATCCCCTAAAAACACAAAACTAGAAGTCGTAATGAATATGCAAAGGTCCTATAAGGTAGAACACAAGAAAGAAAAGGAAGAAAATGCCCTGTCAAAATCTTCTAAGACAAAGAATGCACAAAGACAGCCTTCAGGTTCTTTTGTGTTGACCATATATACTGGTGGGCATTGGGCCTGGCTCAGCAGGACGGAAACATAGATGAACTCACAGAGATGAGGCAGTATGCAGAAGGCCTGTGTTATTCTGGACAAACGGGATCCCAGAACTGAGAGGAGAAGTGGACACAACCCCTGTCCATAACCCAGAAGCTATGTCCAACTGACAACCACTCTCAAAAGAAAAATCAGTTCTCTCCAGTGGGGTCCCACTGGGGATACACACCACTCTTGTCTGTCTTGTTCTGTTTG